CGAATACGTTATATGCATAAAGTATAAACGTTTATTTGGATTTCTGCACGTGATTGAGTGAATAGGGTATGGGTCACTGTAGTGCGTGTATAATATTATATATTTAGTTTTTGTAGTTTGTCTCTCGATGATTTTTATCCACATAATATGTATTTACGTTGGAAAACGGCTAAAAGAGAGCTTATATATGTATACCATCGGTCGTGTTATCATATAAAAACACACTGGGCTACGTCAACAATAATATGTTTGCGAGTGCCATTAGAAAAATAAACAAACGCCATGATCCGTGTCAAGTCCTGCGAACGACTACTAGGCACGTATCCGTTCTTATCTCTATAAATGCACTTCCCCCCGCACCCCGTGGATCAACAACCCCGAGCTGCTTATTCCCGCCACCGTCGGTGCGCCACGGAAGGAATTCTTCCGTTAATTTCAGCTTCAAACTTTAGACAGGCTGACTGACAGTTATGATTACGGAGAGAAAATTGTTGTCAGGGAGTCGAAGGGAAATTGGACGAAAGAGAGAGAGAGAAAGAGAGAAAGAAAGAGAAATGCAAGAGAGATATAATTAACGAATGTGAAAGAGAGGTAAAATGAGTGTGTAAAATACTTCATGTTTGAAAATTCAAATCTATATATTATTTAAAATTAAATGTGTTTTGACAATATCCGAGTAATCACTATAATAATAAGTATAGAATCATAATAAGCTATTATCATGTACCACCCGAGCACTGAACTTCTACATACCTAAATTAACTCAAGCCAAATGAAAATACAAAGACCACAAATCTATATTTTTAATACGTATACAATTTGTTTAACTCTCGAAGAAAACAACAATAACGCAATGCATAATCATTTATTACATTTAACTTAATTTAAGTACTAAGTATTTATAAAAGTATATATACCGATACAAGTAATTTACGCATAATTATAAATTATGTATAAGTATACATAAATATATAAATATATATTGTTTAAAAACTCTAAATTATTTAAACAAGTATTAATTGTTTTTATTTATTCATTTATTTAGAACCAAAATAATAATCTATAGCTACACTCATATTCTTGTAAGTTAAAAAAAAAAAACATACTTAACTAACTTAATTTTAAATTCTATGCAAAACGACAAATGTATTGATTTACCATGACGTATGAATTTTTTTTGATATCTAGATTCACTATTTATATTGAAAAAGATTATGGTAGCAAATTGAATTTGGTACATACCTACTTTAGAGAACCAATAATAAAACATTTTATAATAACTTAGAATTGCAAAAAAAAAAAAAAAAATTATGAATAATATACATACATAAAAATTTGTTAAAATTTTGATATTATTATGAAATTATTATTTTATAATTTTTTTAAGTTGCCTTGATTACCAAAATAATTGACAGTTTGTACTCAAAATCATTTTCCGTCATAAAAATATATCATTAAATTCAAATTTAACACATTAATTTTAGTGACCTACTCAATAACGAGGTAATAGAGGTATATATTCGACACCTACTGTAAAGCAGACCGTGCATTTTTAATTATACATACATTTTTAATTATATTATTAATAGAAAATATTTACTTTCTTTAAGAAATACTAAAAGTGCAAATTTAATCTATTATTTTCATGAAGTATTCATATTTATTCTGACATAAACTTTAGATCATAATCGTATGAACCTTAGCCATATTTTATACAGAAAAAAAAAAAATGGCCATTCTTTTAAATGAAATTGAACAATAATTCGTGCTATTACTACAATATAGAACCTCATTCAACTTAGCCTACATCTAAATTTAGTTAATTAATAAAGATTAAGAATTACCTATATATCACGGCATTGATATGATATGACCTTAATACCGTAACAGTATCGTTAACGAGTATACTGCTCATTTTCGCATCAGTTAATCTAGAATTACAACATTTCAATTTTAATTTGTTTGAACAACTTTAGATTGCCCAGGATAGCAACTGCGGCATCATCGCTAACACCAGGAAAAAGGGAAGTTCATATTCGATTGGTTGGACACATTTATAACAGACCTTCGGCCCACATGGCACACACCTGGGTTTTGTGGCTTAACGTATGAGTGTATATTTATAGTAACTCGAGAACTTTCTAACGAACCCAAGAGTGTCTAAATATTATTCAATTAATACAAGAAAAACATTTTTTTTCTGAACGCATATTCAAGAATTTAACTCTTATTTTTCTGTTTTTGAAACCTTAATCAACAATATAAGAAGTCATAAGAAATAAAATAATTCAAGTTCGATGAACAAGTTATTTAATAGACATTGCTATACTACAAAATCTTTCATGATATGAATTAACCAGAAAAAGCATAGAAAAATTTAAACAAACGAGTATGTTTGTGTCGGGTTCGTAAGATTCAAATGACATATTCGAATTTTTGATTTTTTTCAAGAAGTTGAAGAAACGTAAAATATCATATTTTAAAAGTTGTCTCAGTGATATTTGAAGTCGATACACTATGCATGTTTGAGAGACGTATGATAATTAATGTTATAGTAATAATATGTATTGTTTAATGTATATAATATACGGAATGATCTATGTAGTATAGTATAGAAATGTAGCATAATTCATAAAGCACTCATTATTTCAGAAAACAATGTTTTTGAAAATCTTCCTTTCACATAGTTTTAAGTCGTTACAAAATATTATTTTTGAAAAAAAAAAATGTCTTTTACTTTTTTTTTTATTATTATTATTATTATCATTTCTTTTTGTCTTTTATTCTTTTAAATGACAAAATAAATTTCATATTCCGAAACAAAATATTATTTAGAGTACTTTTATTTGTAAAAGTCAAATTTCGGAATTAAATTAATTTAAATAATAGGTATTGATAAAAAAATAGTTAAACCTATTTTTTTAGAAAATATTTTATGTTAAATGAATCACCAAGTAAATTATGTATTTATGTATGTGATTATCGTGGGTTAAAAGTTTAAGGTATTTTCGGTCGGCAGTCAAAAGTGTAAATTAGGAGTGTCTAGGGTTGTTTATTGAATAATCCTAATGTACGCTCAGACAAACACCTGTGTATAACGCGATATTTTTAAAGATTTCTAGTGAGTTTACATTTTCCGTAAATACAATATATATGCAGTGTATAAACATCTGTGAGAAAAAATAAAAATAATAATTAGACATTTGTATGGCCCACACCTGAAGCAACTATATGAAGTACGTGGGGCTCTATTTAGAATGTTGTCGCTATATAATAATATATTATACAGCCTCTTAACATCACTATCGCAATATTATTTTATCCTTATATCTTAATTGGAGATTATAATAATAAATAAATAAATTGATAAAATTTAATAATTTAAAGTCTATTTTTTAAAAATATTTATAAATTAATAGAAATATTTGGTGAATTTTTTAAGCAATACATTTTTTAGCTTGATTGTTAAAAAAATAATCTTTATGTTTTTTTCTATAAAACTATATTTATTATAGATTTATAAAATTTAACTTTTAACCATACGTTTTTTTTAAACTAATTTTATTATATCTATGTAAGCCATTTAATATAATACCTACTCATGAACCGCTTCACGTTTGTATTAATAAAAAGAAAAGTTTGTCTATTTATACTCGTATATAATCCATAGCCAATCTACTGCAGCCATGGTTCTAAAATTTGGTACATAGATAATTTTGTACCCCATACCCTAAGATATTATGCATCTAGAAGCTAATTTTTAAATTCACATTTTACAAAGGGGTCCACACAAACATCACTGACAGGAAACGATTATTTTTTTTGTTTAAATAGGATTATTATTGATTAAGAAAAATAAAATTCTTAGTTATTTTAATAAGTGGATATAATTTTAGACCTATAGATATTTTATAATTGATACTTTATTTTATACTTTACAATTCCAATAAATTTGTTAAAAATATTTTTATAGCTACATAATATTTTAATAGTTTAAAAAAAGATAAATCATTGGCATTATTTAATTTAACAGGGTGACATCACATAAGATAAGCTCATAATATATAAGTACTTACAAATTTGAATTCACTTACAAAAGTTATTATACATAAATGTGCGTATATTTTACGCATATAGCATTTATTTCTAGTACCTTTATACATATGTTATATTGTAATATTGTTGTTTGTTACCTATCGTGTACAATTATTTAAACGACGGAAGAAAACGTCACATATTACGCCAGAAACGAACCGCAGAAACGCTCGCATACTTGCAGCTCGAGCTCGAGGCTCCGAAAACTTCTTCGGGGCGAATATACATGTCATCCCCACCCACATACTGACGTATTTTCCTTTACCACACGCCCCCGCGAAACCCACGTCACAACCGCCATCACCACCTCCTATAACACTACCACCACCACCACCACCACCGCCGCCGATGAACCGCGTTCCCGTTGCCGATGCTCGGCGGCAGCTAGCGGCACATCAACCGCAGGAGTTGCAGCTAGAACTAATAACTCGCAGAAACGATGGCGACGGTGGTGTGGCGGTGTGTTTATGTGTATGACACAACAGAATTTCGCTAATGGACGTGTCACAAACACTCGGACACGTACTGGGCGGGCAAGCCGGTGTGGCTTTTGGTGGCTGTACATATATATAATATATTATACACACACACACATACATGATATATATAACCGATGACGAGCGGCGGCTTTTGTGCTTTAAAAAAAAATAACGGTTATATGTACCTACGAATAATACGTATATAACTTTATACATATACATCTGTATTTTATATGCTATTATAATAATACGCTTATAAATTTATATTTATATAATATACATGTTTAAATTTATACAAGAGATATGTGCACATGAGTTCGGAACATTTTGAATATTAATATTATAATGTGGAAATATATATACCTAGTACCTACGTATATGAGTAATCGAGGTTTTTATTTTTTATCAATTCTTTTTTATATTTAGGTAAATCAAAAATCAAATCCAAAGATGCGGGCTTCTCGTCGACGTCCACTAGTGATTCATCGGGCGAACACTTGCTGAGCCCTACACACCCGTTACCGGCACGAATCGATGTTGAATCTGAAAGTACGTATTAAGTTTTGTGTGACAATGTTAAATTATTATTGTAATTTACATCGAAATAACAGTAATTTGTATTATATTTAGTATGCTAATATATTATTATACTGTGTGATACCAATAATTCAGTTATCCATAGACATTAGACACACAACGCAGTAATTTATTTAATCGATGTTTTATAATTTTATTATTTTGAAGCAATTTGTTTTTAAATTTTCAAACTTGTTTAAATGTCAAACATGTTGTAAAAAATTATTTTCTGAAGTAACTTTTTCTTCTAGTAATGTCTATATAAATATTAAGTAAACATATTTTTTACTTATAAATCATATAATAATATTTAATGTAACACTCGTATACTAACTTTGTTGGTTATCCTCTATCAGTTCACAGTCCGCACCTCTTAATTAAACTTAAAATATATTTATTAAGATAATACTTATTTAATTTAAAAAATATTAGTTCTTTAGTAAAATAAATAATGTATAATAAAATAGTGATATTGTTATATATGTAATACATAGATATATTATATATACCTACGGCTATATAAGAAAAAGAAATAAAAAATTAGATTTTTTTATATAAATGAAGTATCTTAAAAAAATCTCACATAATAATTTATAATAGTAGCTCTAACACTCTATATTACATTATAATTTTATATTATAGCATCATTTTATATACTTTAAATTAATGTATTTAATTTATTAAATAATAATATAATTATTTAATTTATTAAATACATAATGTTAACTCTTGTGACATGTCTTTTTATATTATGATGAGCATGGGTCGTGATCTTATTATTAATCTACCATAATTCTTTGGGGGGTTTTCCACAGTTTATATAACGTGATTTGATCCACCTTTATAGCTATAATTTTCTATCACAAAAGTGTGATTAACATGATCTAATAAATATTAGTATGTTAGTTGAGATATATATAATCGGATTCCTATTGTACGAATGTTATAATTATAATTAAGAAAATAAATGTTATATTATACTAAATTATACTACATGTTATATTTTTCTAATTGTCGAGACTAATTTAGTATAAACGAATTAAAAAGCTATTAGGTCAATATTACTATAGATGATAGTAAAGTTTACTTCTATCGTCCACATAGGTTCGAGTCCGCCGTCTGACACGTTCAGAAATCACTCCAAACTCAAAAGATTTCTTACTACTTTGGTGCAATTCAGTGGACAGATATCGCCGCAGACTAGTGAACGAGTTAAGGGTCAGATATTCACCCTAGTGGTAAGTATGAAAACAATTAATATTTCACGTTTTTCTGTTATTTTATTTTATAAAGTAAATAATCCTATAAAATTAAAAAAATGTTATACTAAAATCTTTAGTTACTTTTAATTCGATTTCTTAAGCCATATAACCATAGTTTATTATATTCTTATAATAATTCGATTTTAATATATAAATGTTTTTTTTAATTATTATTGATTGATTATATTTTACAGTATATCTTTGATAAAATAATAATATGTATTTAAAAATTACATACCTAATGATATTAATTTTTAGTTATAATTACCAAATTATACATATTATTAACAGAAAACTTAATTTGTCTTTCTTAAAAATACGACACTTAGATCTATAGATAAAACCAAATTTGTCTAATTATTTAATGTTATAAAAATATAATTTATAATATATTTATTCTGTCGTTTATTCTTACAGAATAATTTGATAAGTGTTGAAGAATTTCATCATAATATACAAGAAATGACAAACTTTCCATTACGACCATTTGTACTGCCATTTTTAAGGACTCACTTACCTTCACTACAACGTGATCTACTATTAATGGCTCGTAACAACAAACAGGTAAAGAAAATTATAATTTAAACACATTAAATAAATATTGAAACCAAATAAATAGTAATAATTTATTATATTTTATTAAATTAATGAAATAAACAAAATAATACAAAATATTTTTTTCTAGTGTTAATTATTATATCATAGGTATATACTAAAAATGTTTTATAAAAACGATCCGATATTAAATAACTTAATATGATCAGAGTTATTATTTTAATTTTACTATAACGTGTGTACAATTTTAAGATCATATTTAAAATAATTATAACGAATTTGTTTGCTCAATGCTATTCAACATTTGACGATATTTTATTTATCATTTAATCGAAATCGCAATTTTTAGTAATACAAGTTTATATAAATCGTTTCAAAACTTTTTTCCTTATTTTAAAACTTTAACCGTTAAATTTTGTTTTTACAAATAAGAAAAAATTGATTGTGTTTCTTTGTTTTTTTCGAAGCGTTTTATCTACATTTTTAAGTTCTTAGAATCTGGCTAAATCATTTAGTAAATAACTTAAACATGCCAAGACGTTTAAGCGAGAATGTTAATCACGGTGACAAAAATTTATGCTTTCATAATATGTAAGCCGTTTGTCAAAGTTTTTGAAAGTTACCAACGACTGATAGTTACATGGATAAAACAAATATCAAAATTGATAATTTAAAAGTAAATAATTGTTATTATATAATATTACATTTTCGCAAATGAACTTGTATGAGTTATACCTGGAGTATGAATATAATATATTTTTTGATGTAACATTCCTTATACATCTCAAGGCATGTTTCAGAATATTAATGAATGACAAGTGATAACTATATTTTATTATTCTGTATTTATTAAACACATTTTCTATGTTTTATATGTACCTATCAATTTTTGATTTATTAGTCTTAAAATCAAATTGTTATAACAATATAAATGATTTTAAATACATTTTTTCCATCTTGATATTATGTATGTAAGATAATATTAATAATCAATAAGTAATAATAATAATATGTAAAAATAACATGTGTATAAATAAAAACATTTAAGTATAATTTACTGTCTGAACTAACTTTATTTTGACAACCCAATTTATATGGAAATTGGACATTATTACTATTTATTAAGTAAGATATTTAACATTTCGAGCAATAAATTGTATAAAACTTCTCCTAAACTTATTTCACTTTATTTAAAAAAAATCATTTAACTTTATAATTAATAATAATACACATATAATAAATTGTTCAAAAAACATTTAATTAAGCAATATAATATTAAGAGCAGTATAATAATCATCTGGTGGACTTCACGGAAAAGTCTCGTAGATTAAATGTTTGATTAGCACAACCCGTGCTGACTAAAAATGTCGTTATATGTAACAGTATTATATAATTATTATTATAAAGACAAGCAATAGTCAAAACCGTGAGAGTGGACGAAAAAAAAAGGAAGAAATACCGTCAAAAATGTACTTCTAATGTGTAGTTGAATCTCGTCCATTACCAACATCGCATGTGTTGCAGCAACAGCCGTCGTTCGGATTTCCTCTAATGAATTTCATCCAAACGGTCAGTGACTTTGGAAGGGGAGTGGGTAAACATGTCCCACGTGCGTCGCTTAAATGACTCGCAGACTTAGACGCAGTTGTCGTTGTCATTGTCGACGCTTAAAACCTTATGCAATTTTCATATTTGTTAGGGCGTGAACGAGGTTGTTGGGTTGTTTGTGGTTAGGAGGGTAAAAAATTATTATGGCTTTTTTCGTCGACACGAGGTCAACACTTTTTGTGTTTTCACGTTCGATTTCTCATTGTGTTCACGCGTAATTATTATACCGTTATGCAGTACCTACCATGCACATTATTGTACAATAGAACAACGCAGAATTATTTATTTTTACGAAATCCAGGTTTTGTTGGTTTCGCACAATTTTTAACGCCACTGTAATAATATCGTATCACGGCAAATGCCTTAAATCGCCTAAAACTTCAAATACATTTAGGAAATAATTTTGAAGCAACAACATAACCTAACCGCCTTAACATTATTTTTATTATAATTAACATTTTGAAACAGATTCCATCCGTTTTGTTTTCATTTGGCACGATATAATAGCATAATAAAAGTTATCATTAGTAAAGAAAATTAGCAGCCCCTAACTTTAAGTATGCATTAGAAACCACAATTGTTCAAATACTTAGGTTATGTTCACCACTTAAAAAGCATCTTAAGTACCAATTTAATTTTTTCTGTACATTTTTAAGTAAATACTTTTGTTGAAAATGTTGATGTATCCGAATCACAATTTAAATGAGTGTCTACTGCCTAGTTTCTGATTTATTAAAGTTTAAGAAATTCTTTGCAAAAATTTAAATTAATTTATCTGCTTACATATTACACTTGGACAATTTTTATAAATTATAAAATTTTAATATATTAATATTAATAATTAATCACTATAATTTCCAATGCCGCAAGCACACGTTACCTATACATTTTACTCATTCCTTACCAGTGGATTTACCATAAATTAATTTTCACTGATTCGTGAAAATATTTAGAATCGTAGAATGAAACAAAAACAAAATTCTCTTATTAAATGTTGCAGACTTTAAGTCAGTACCTGAAACAGCACGAAAACGCGTACTTAGACAGAGATTCGCAGGCCACCGAACCGTCAGAAATCTTTCACCAGGTGGAGCGAGTCCCTCCGCCGTCACCAATGCCACGCGAGAACAACAATAACAGCAATGGAAACAATAACAACAGTAACAGTAGCAGTAACAACAACGGCATCATTGGAAACGGCCACAAACGACCGTATCCATTAGCCGACAGCTACTACGAAACCGGTGGTTACGCGGCCGACTTGGAGTACCAGCAACCGTGCGTCAAGCGTCCGAACCTCGGTTACGCCATACCATTCATGTACCATCATCCACACCTTCACCCACAGGAACCACCACCACCTCCACCACTGCCACCACCTTCATCTCACCCGTACAGCATATTGCCACTGCTACACATACGCGAGGCGGAAGACCACAAGGGTCACGTAGAGGATGAATGGAAGAACATACACGTGGTAAGTACATCCGGCGTAAGTTCCATTAAATATTATTAGTGTATTTTTACCAACGCAGTTCTCCAATTCTTATTCATGATGATATCTCAATTTAAATCCAAATAGAATATGATAACACATTAATAAAATTATCAACTAATTAAATTAATTTTATTGATCATAAAAAATTACTATTATATATAAATTTAGACTTTGGGCCCACTATAACCAATCTTATGATATCAAATTGTAAGAAATAAAAACAAAGTTATCAATAAGTATCAGAAAAAAAATAACGTTAACACTAGAGATCTTGGTTTTTAGTTTGGAGTTGAAATAAACTTGCATCCCCGCCAAAATTTAGTGATAAAATAAAAACACGAAGAAATTATTTAGAAAAATATAAACTAAGCAAAGTTACGAATAAATTATTTTTAAAAGTCTGATTTTAACTATTTTACTTAGATTTTATTGTTTAGAATTAGTTCTTAGTTCAAGACAATAATATTAAAACACTTCTTCAGTATTATGTTCGCAGTTGCGGTTATTTCAAAATAAGAACTAAAAAGTTTCAATGTAGTTATAAAATATTATTATGAGAACCTAGTTTCAAACTTTGTTGAACAATATATCGTATAAACGAGTTTCGATAATGGACAAATGCAACCTCAAATTCACACCTACGAGTATTTACGTATGAACTGTCGAGTATGTATATTATATACATACAGAATGATTTACCAAGCATTCTCTGCTCTATTATTTAAAGACCATATTTTAAAATTCTTGAAATTATTCAATATTGAAAAAAAAGATTACTTTCTTGGTGAATCACGTGTACACTGTACATAAAATAAGCTATATATTTTTTATCCACTTTTTATACCTATTGCCCATACATGAAACTGTACACATGTATAATATACTTGCCAGATCATTAACATTTTAAATAAATATTTTCCCGTAAAGTTATTCGCTGGAAAAAAACGTTCGTGTAAAATAATTTTAATTTATTTTTTAAATGCTGATTGCCTTTCATCTATATATTATGATGGTTTGGATTTTATATGCGGTTATAAATTTAAGATAACTACCCAAACTATAAATATTCAAAAAACCATAGAATAAAGAAAAATACTTTCCTAAAAAGTATAGAGCTTCAGAACGCATTTTGTTTCATATCAATCGACTTTGCTATCTTTTTAATCTCGTATATATTATTATATATTTTATTTAATACAATAACGTATGCCGAATTATATAGATGTTGAATTGTATACTAAGCATGGTGGAAAAGACAAAAAAAGCATTGGGTATACTCCAGGAGCGGGGCATGACCGATACGAGTTTTCCGGACTGGAACAGAAAGAAATCGACGGAAGAAATTTTGGCGCAAACAGTACGACATACGGAAGAAAGGATCGAAATCATCAAAAAGAAAGCTGGTAAGAATTATTTTTAAACTCATGAAAAGGAAATTTTCATTTTCATCCCGTGACGATGATGTTTGCTTTGCGTTCATTTAATAATAAGTATTATTATTTAAGAAATATTGTAATATACTGTCGTTAAATAATTGTCACGTTTTCATTTTCTGTTATTTATTGATTTATGTATATTAAATAAATAAGAACCCAGTCGAATCACACTTGTAAAAAATTAGGTTTTAAATATTCGTTTTCTCAAAAAACCAATATGAATTATAAAATGTATTGAAAAATAATAAATGTGTTATTTATATTTTTGTAGATACCTACTGTTATAATCTACATTTGATGTTTCATTATTTTTAAGCAAACGTCACATTTTGAAACATTTTTTTTTTTTTAATAAATGGCAAATTTTCTTTTATTTTAAACGATGTAACATAATTATAATAAAATGATAATATGAACACATCAAATCAATAGTTATAATTTAAAATAATTATAATAAGCTAACATAAAATCCATGTAAATATAATCAACGTTTAAAAATAATTTTAATATTTTATTATGTAATATAAATGTAATAATAAATTTCAAAATTGATAACCTGTCGTTTTCTATGCTTGGTTAATTCTAAATTTATTTATTGGTGATAATGATATACGTAGAGATTGAGAGAAAGAGAAAAAGAGTGTCCGAGCCGAGAGTTTTGCCAAGTTGATCGAGTATTTGATTTTCTTGTCTATATATGTGTAACATTGTGTAAACAATATGGGTTTGATGGTAAGTGCTGTTCCACAACTGGTGCACAGTAGAAGTTAGCTTCTCTTTTGCTATTAGGTGTCGATGTATTGACCAAGTGGTTGCTTACGTTGCGTATCTCGATATTTGTTATTTGTTTCTTTTTTTTAAACATTGTTATTAACATATTTTGAAAATAAACCAATACCGTTTTATATATAAATTAATAATAATAAAAAAAATGTATAATATTACAAATTAAATATTATCAATTACAAAAGAAAATAATTTTACCTCGATTATTATTATAGGTATTTGGCAGGTACATAAATAAACCATTGTTCTTTGAATTATTATACATATTATAATTATTTTTGTTATATATAAAAACCGATAATATTTCATGACAATAAATACGTGTTTAACCCATAATATCTTAAAAGTTTATTATGTAAATATAAAATAAAAATATATATTTCGTTCTTTTTGTCAAATAAAATAAATAACTATCAAGATAATATTTGTTAAATGTATAAAATTATAGATTTTGTAAATATAAAAAACAATTAGAATGTAGAATAATTTATAAAGTCATATAATTGTACCTAAATAATAATATAGTGTTTAAATAAAGTTGATATACAGTTAATATAATAAAATATTTACATAAATTTGTGTATAAATTATTCAATTATTTTTTTCTTATTAAAGTTGTTTTAATACTTACGAAAATCAGTTTAATATTATTATGGCTAATAAAAAACATATACATATGTCAAATACGGTGTAAAAACGATATTAGTACGTGTAAAACAAACAATTATTTAACCTACATAGAGCTATATTTAGTTTTAAATTTAAATACACATAATAGAATTTACAAATAAATCAATAAAAAAAAAAAATTGTTTGGCTAAAATGCATATAATACGTATGCAAAATTGCTAGTCTTCGGTGTTGTTATAAGAAAAACATAATAAGTTCGAATTTCCATCAACCGAATGTTGTAGTTAACTCAAGAACTTAATTCGTTGTTACGTTTAACTTAATTTTACTTATTATTAATTATAATTTTTTATTCCATATATCGAATATATTTTGTTATTCATTATTTGCTAGACTCAAAACAATAAATGTTACGTAATGTTTATTAACAAATTAATATTTATTTAATAATAAATACTGTTATAATACTATTTTGACTTTTGGTGCAATAATTTAGTTGAAAATATAAATCTTATAGCTACAAATTGTTTAAATATTTTCGTAAGATTTTTTTATACATTTTTACTTTAAATACACAACGAGGATTGTGATTTAAAAATTGTAGCAATATATTTTTATATTTTTAATTGCAATACAAACAATTAATAAGAAACTTTAAATGTGTATTAAAATATCAAGCTTTTTTTATTTATAAGTAAGAATTGTATAATAAATAAATCAAAAAAACTAAAAATAGTTAACATTTAAAATATCTATAAATACCACAAAAAAAGTCTTGAACCCTTAAAACTAGATCCGATTTTCTGTTAGAAACCATCCTTAAAATGGAAAATTCAAACATTTTTACTACTTCATAAAGTGATGACAGACATAAAATAAAATATATAAATAAATAAAATACATATACTTATATTTGTAAAACCAATATATTTATCTTTCAACTCCGAATATGAAATACAGTTTTGACATGAATACTATGTATTCAATAAAAAAATAAAAAATGTTATAATTAAGTATTAATTTTTCATATACGTATTATTATAAAAATATTGTACAAACATCGTTCGTTTTTCATAATTTTTAACAAACGTTTAAATTATTAATTTAACTAATTTTTATTTAATTATTATTGATTACATATTATGAGAAACAACTATCACCAATTGATTCCATTTATACACAGATATCAAGAATATTAAAAACATCGTTACTCAAGGTAAACGTTTATTTGTACCGCATGGAATTCAAAAAAATATTTGTATGCCTACATTATTATTACATATAATAATATATTAAATATATTTTTTACTTATATGTGTTGATAAATTTTACTACAATATTATCAGTATTTTCAATATATTTTTTTTTAATTCATTATTTTATCAACATTTTTCTTGTTTTTTTTGCGAGCGAAATCATAGTTACTTATTTAAGTAGTCTATACTTACATTATATCATACATATTATAAATATATAATGAATCCATGTAAAAGCATTGCGAGTTTATTGATCAAAACTACAATACAATAATTGTCATCCACCAATCGTCATAGACTTTAATAACTAATTAACTTTACGAAGTGAATAAAATATACCAACATTTGCATTTTGTAATCATTAAAATAAAAAAAAATAAAATTCATAGTTCACTATCCATGCGCGTCGTATAAAAAATTACCTTAATGTCGAAGAAATGAAATTCACATATTTTAATAACTACTTAACTATACAATTTATTTGATATTTTGAACATTTAGTTTTTTTTTTTTTCAGAGGATTCGATGAATGAGATACGACATCAGGCCATGATAGAGTTGCAAAAGCTCGTGTTGGCCGCAGAAAACAAAATGATTGAATTAGTGGCCACAGAGAGAACAAAAATGAGCAATAACTGCAGGAATTCAGGCACAGCCAGTTTACAGATATCGCCGTCGCTAATTTCGCAATATAACGTAAGTCAAATGATGGTCACGCGAAATTTTTCATACTAAAAATCAGTGAAGCCAGTATGTAGTGTGTGTTCAGACTCATACAATCTACAATTACGCACCTATAATAATATTGTTTATCGCCTGTACAACCTATACTATATTTTTACTCTATAAGACTAAAATTTATGAATTACGTAACTAAACTATTTCACGAAAATCACTATGATAATATTATTAATATATTCGTCATAATACTCGTATATTAGTCTAAATTCTTAATACAAAACAGTTCTCACAAAATCTATTTATTTGTTGAAGGCAATTAAATACAAATTTACTGGTAATATTTCACCATTAAAAGAAAGCCATTCATGTATCACTATCGTTTTGATAATATTTCTTTCATCTTACTCCTAACATCTATATTAGTTTATTAAATGCCTACACAACTGATTGCAACGTCAGATATATCATCTATGTATATGTAACACTTTACTATAGAAGTATTATTACAGTATTACAATGCTAACCTAACCAAATAATTAGGGTTTTAATTCTTCATCACTCAATAATATTTAGACTTTTCGATATCGTGTCTTATAGGGTAAATTAAGCAAGGGCGCCGAACTTTTATCGCTAACAATATACCCACATTTGCTGCGGTGTATATATAAATATTTATTTTAATCGATGTACTCAAAAAGTGTAATTTTAATATGAAAACCATCTTAAAAAAACGAATCTTTTACTTTACCAATACCAGCTGTGTGCATATAACAATAATAACAATTTTAATAATAATAATAATAATAAGTATTCGTTACCTACTTGGGTACGTGTGTTTAATACACATAAATGTTATGCTGCAGCTGTGTGCGATGCGATGCGCGTGTTTGACAAACGTTTGAACAAATAAACAACAAAACTTACGAAACTCTTAGTGTATAACATACATTAGGTTAGGTTATATGAAAAAATATAAGTGTAAGTGTTCTTTGAATTTTAATTTTTTTTTTTTGTAATTATTTTAACCAAAAATCTAAAAATTTTAAATATGTTTAAAGATATAAAACTTTAAATTTATTAAGACTTTTTATACTACTAATAGAATATCTCATGGCAATACATACTTTTATTTTTCAAATATTGCCTACTTTCATTTTTTTTTTTTTTTAATTCAAAAATCGAATAAGTCATTTTTTAGTTAATTATATAATAAAAATTAGAATAGTAGACAAATGTACAATAAAAAGGAAGAGGAGTTCTTATTTCGAAACGGAAACTTGTATCTTCCAAAAATATTCACAACGAATCTCAAGAATTTTAAATTATGATATTGAGTGTCCATTTAATAATTCCGGAAATTAGATTTTAAATAACTATATTATTAAAGAAGAAAAAAGAGATAAGCATGCTTAAATTATCAAAAGATTCCTTGAATCACTCTGTATAATATACCAGACTTTTTCTTCAACCCTCTAATAAACTTCTATTACATATACCGCTTCAAAATATTATTGTAATTTTGTGCAGATCTCCGTTACACATGCCGTGCACTATATAAGTATATATTTGTTTATGTGTCTGTATATGTGTATAAGTATTTATCCTACCGCGTTGTTACCATCTGGTCCGCAGTCGCACGCGCAGACTCCTCTCAATCTTTCCATATACAGAGCGTATTTCAGGGTATTTTCTCATTTTTTTTTATAGCATATACCATATAACTTAACACATTGGAAAATGAGAAAATTCATTGCATCACTCTGTACATACCCACTAACACGCGCGCGTATATCTATCATACGTACACTCGTGATATAATGTAGTATATGTGACGGTGCGAGTAAACGCAAACCGCTGCTACACCGGCCGACACATACACTACACGTGGAACCCTAAAATAAACTTTTTATTATTATTATTATTATTATTTCGTTTTATTTTTGTGGTAGCAATATGTAATAAAATTGGTGATATCGGTTACGATATATTATAGGTACACACCAAATGAGTTTTATTAAAACAATTCATAATAGCGGATTGTATACGCATACTATTTTATATTTTGTTACTTTACTTGCGTGTGTAATACTACGTATTGTAGTTGTACGTTACGTGATTTATTGCAAGACATAATATATGACAGTTGATACGTATAGTTACTTCGGTTATGTAGCATTAGAGTGTATACACTTGAAACGGACCGAGAAATGTCAATGAATTTCACGACTAGTGGATTTGCTGGCCAGTTCTATTCTGATTAAAACACACTTTAAATGATTCCAGTTGGTTTATTAAGCAAGTTCAATAAAATCTAATGTCAAAAATAAAGCTAAACAGAGTAGTTTAGTCGGGCTATCAATATAAATAGGAACGTCAGATCTCCAGATACCAGACTACGAGTATATATTAATTTCGAGTATTCCAACGCAAACCAATCGATACATTTTTCTGATTTTTGCATATTATGAAAAATTATTGATTTACTATTTCAAAACCTTTCGAGTAATATAGACGTAATAATAATAGTAATATTTCTGAATAATTATTATGAATATAATACCATCTGTGAATATTTACAACATGATCGCTTACGGAGACAATAAATATTTATCACATTTCACCTGTGTGCATCATGTGACTTAGATCAGTGCTACAGCGATTGACTGTATAGGTTTCTCAAAAGAAAGAGAAACGTATACGTCTTATAACACTATTATAAAATATATACCAGGAAATATTTATAATTTTTTTAGTTTTTACTTTTTGTTACGATATTTTACATTTTTTAAATTCATATTTCCTAAGCAGGATATTATTCGGGATATAAAATTCAAAATCCATAAATTTATAAAAAAAAAAAAAAAGTAAGTATCTTAAAAAATTATAACAATAAAAATCATTAATTATTTACGAAAAATATTTGTTTTTTATTTTTATAATACATTTCAATAGATTTTGATCACACGGCGTTATAGATAGGCAAATCAGATACATCATTACTGTAAATATTCAGATTTCCTATGCTCATAAATTCGTACCTCATAAGTGTCTATAGAGCATGGGATTATGATTATGATATTTTTTATGAAAAATATTTATTAAATTATCATAAAATACATGAAAAACAGTACTGTGGGGTCGCTTGAATTTATCAAATGTAGAATATAATAGTATTATGTCATGGATTAGTTTTTTTTTGTCTCCCCGAGGAGGATTTAGATAAGTGGTGGCCCTTGAGTGGGTTATATTATGGGGAACCCAAATAAATAAACAAAGCAATATATTTTTGATCATTAAATAACATAAAATATTTCCAACTTGCTATTTACTTAATTTTGTTAATAATTAATTATAAAAATAATCGAACCAGGTAAGAAGTATCATAACAAGTTGTTTTATAAAAATATAATTACCTAAGCATTATTGTGACTTAAATTAATAATAAAAACAATTATGTTTAACAATGATTAAAATGAAATTTCTAACATTTTTCTTGATTTTATAATCACAAATAATTGTACAAAAACCTTTCCTATCTAAATTCTAGAACACCGCTTATTTATTTGAATGCATGTATATTATATACTAATGTGTTTGCATGTATGTTTTAATAACATACAAAATGATATGTAAAATACGCAAGTACCTATTGTTTTTTTAATCTATTTCTTCTTTTTTTAGCTTTTTTTATCTCATTTAGGGCCTTTGCTGATTCAACTATTCCCCACCACTTTTCTCTATCTTCACTATCTTCAAGTCTTAATCCTAATGCACAATTTCGTAAGTTTGATTTGACTATATCTATCCATGTCTACCAAGTTCGTTCTCAAAGTCTTTTCCTATTAATTATTTCTGTCACTACTTTTTTTTAATAAGTATCCTACTAGACCTCCAGACATGTAAAACTCATTCAAACGTTTGGCTCTTATATATGCATTTATATTAGGTCTACTGTTGTAGTGTTAATTTTTTTATAACAATATAATTTTAAATATAAAAATATCTTCCATTTTATATATATTATTTTGAATTTGAAAATTACTTTTTTTGTTATTTCTCTATAGCAGTAGTTCTCAATCTTTTTAGGACCGCAATCCAAATTTTTTTCCAAAAATCTATCACGACCCCCATAGTTTTACATTTACAGAATCAAAAAAGTAATTTCAAAAAACAAATTTTTTTATTACTTATTTACTACTTTATAATAATAATAATTGTAATAATATACTTATAATAATAATATAATACTACTTCTCGCGACTCACAGTTTGATAAATGCTGCTCTATAGACTAAAAACTAATTAAACTTTTTAATAGAAGTTATATTAATAGACTGAACACTAAATTAACTCCATAAAATTCGGAGAGCATGTACAATTTATTTTTTTAACCCCTATAAGTTGCTTTAGAAGAGTTTACTCATGAATTTATTTGTGACTCACCAAAATCATTTTTTTTTTTTTTATTTAAATGGTCATCTTTGGTAACCGATTATATATTATAATAATTGATATATTATCTTAACAATAATGAATTTGCGTCAGTTTTTAAGCATTTATTTTAACTAACTCCAATTTTTGAAGCGATTCGCGCTACTGTTTTTTCTGGAAAAAATATAGACCTATATATGTTCCAAGGTACTGACTTAAGTCTTACCCTAATAATAATTTTGAAAACTTATTTAAATTTATCATGAAGTATACATATATTTTAAATCAGTAGGATTTAAACAAATTTTAAAAATATAATTTTTCCCATTGCAATTTCTAAAACTAAAATATTTATTTTTTTTTTAATATAGTTCAAAAATTCAACAGTTTATTTAACTATTAACTAATCTATTTTTTAAATTATTATCAGTGAAAAACTTAAGTCAGTATGTTTATACTCGTTTAAATCTATGACTTAAAAGATTTTGCTATGAAATAATTTCAATTTTAGTCGTTTATTGATATATGCATGTGAATACATAACGCTTACCCCACTCGTTATCAAATTATTTCAAATAAATTTCATAATGAATTTAAATATTTTTTTTAAAACTATAATCGGAGTAAAATTCAAGTTAATACGTTGGAACTTGTATAGTTATATTTTGCTCCCAGAAATAGTATTGTGTAGAATCTCCTTAAGTCTCCAGTTTCTGTAAACTATTATAATACATATGATAGCAAAGAGTGTGTGTGTTACGTACAGAGCTGTTGGAACTGCGGTCGAAAGGCGAACGAGACGTGCAGCGGGTGCAATACGGCGCAGTATTGCAGTTCGTTCTGTCAGCACAAAGACTGGGAGACGCACCACCAGACGTGCTGCGTGCACTCGGCCGCTGCGGCCACGGCCACCACAACGGTCGATGCGGCCTCGTCACCCGGTAAAAAACAACAACCGCCACCGCCGTCATCATCTTTGTCATCGTCCACGACCGCCGCATCGTCATCGTCGGCTGCAGACGACCTATCCACAAACCGAGCGCAATCAACGGCAGCGACCATACCGTCGTTGTCGTCATCGTCGTCGTCCCTTAAGGCCGACGAACATGCGTCGCAGCAGTCATCGAATGCCACTGCCACTGCCACTGCCACTGCGACAACAACCACCGTCACCACGACCACGACCACGTCGACTACCACGACGACGACTGCCGTCGGCTCGAAACAACAGCAGCAACAACAATAGCAACTCGGCGGCGGTGACGTAGACGACGACGTCGACGATGACTGTGACCCAGCCGCCGGACTCGCCGCTTCCCGTCGCCGTCACCGTCGTCGCCACCATTACCGCCAAAACCTGCATCGCAGACGAATCGAAGCCGGCCTTCTGGCCTGCAGCACCACCGGTCTCGTATCGCGGGAATACTATCAGTAGGGAATTATCGTCCACATGCTAGCCATCTCCTCGCAGATACACTTGGTTAGACATTTTCTGAAGTTTTAAAACACTTGTGAAGTCATCTCCTCTTATGTTACAATAATTGATTGCTGGTTCGGCAAAAAATGTCTCTCTACTGCGAACATGCGTGTTCCTTAGAAAAAGACATGATGATATCGGAAACTGTGTGTGGGTCTATCTCTAACAACAAAATAGTCAGTCCCATTCCTTTGACTCCCCCCCCCCGCTTCACTTAACGAGTAATACCTGGTAAAAATGCATCTGTTTATTATGGCGCACTCTGCATGTATATGTATTGTTATGCACACGCCACACAATATACTCATCAAACCCATAAAGCTTTCGTGTATATTTTGCCCTCTTGCACATTTAGTAATAGATATTATTTAAACGATTTGAAGGCAGGTAGATATATTAAAACAATTTTTTTCCGATGAAAAAATATAAAATCCTTTTCGATTTTTATTGTTATATAAGTTTTATCCTTGGAATAGTATATTGTTGACCTTTTATCTAGGTATGTTGAATTCCACTTTAACTTTTAATGAATACAGTTTAAACGATAAATTACCTATGTATTTGATTTTTACTTTAAGTCAGCCTGATTTGACAAATTATTCAAAATAATATTTGAAAATAAAAAGTTTGCGATTTTATCTATAAAAATTGTATTAAATTTAAAAAACACTATAATAGATAAAAATAGTCTTATTAATCTTTTAAATAATATATTATACACGCTAAACTTTAGAATAGATAGGTGTTTTAAATCATAATATTACCTATATAAAACAATATAAGTTTTAAATTCTAGAATATAACATCAACGTACTCATAAACTTTCGACGTAACAAAAAAAAATCGTATAGTTCGTATTTCAGTTTAATTATACTGCAATAGTTTATAGTTTATATCTGTATAGAATACATTTTGTTTTTTTAATTAATATACAATTAATAATTATATTCACACACTGTAAATGGCAATATTTAAATAACTATTTAGGTAAGTAAATTAATATATTAGGACTAAATGAAGTCGCATATATATCATAAACGTTTGTAAAAATCATATACTTAATATTTTAATAATAATCATTGTTATGATTATTATTATTACAGTTAAAAATTCTTTAACCGTTTAGACTTAAAATATCACTACTGCAAATTGATGGCTATTATAAAATGTAATGTAATATAATATACTATATGTGTCATATCATAAACAATACAAATTCTTGCTCATGTTCATTTGAATCTACTATAAATTATAATAGGTATGTTACATAAAATTAAAAAAAAAAAGAAACTACTAATCAGGTACCTTGGTACCTAGATACTTGTTGAATAATAATATTTCTACAATCGTAACAACATTGTGATCTCAATTACTTATAATCTCATTTTAAATAACTATTAGGTACTGTAAAACTTTTATAGAACTATTTTCGTGACGATAGTAAAACATTTAAAGCTAATTTGATGATTTCTGTATAATACATCAGATCCGTATACCAGTGGCAAACCCAGGAGGGTGGACCCTCTCTCCTTAACTTATGTCATAAAATGTATTTTTATTTTTTAAATTCGCCCTGATATTTTCATCAAATTTTATTGATTAGATTGATTATTAGATTTGGTATATTATTAATAACACGTCGATTTTGAAGTATAGATAAAATCAATATTAAGATCTTAATGACTATACCATAATTTAAATGGCATAATAATAATTAATTGACATACATTGTAAAATATAAAAAGTATATATATTAAATAATATAATTTTGTTTATTTAGCAATAAAATGAATATATGTATCATTTAAGGAAAAGAACAGAAAAACAGTAAATAAATAAATTGTTTTCAACCCCCCTCCCTTAAATAAATCCTGGTTGCGCCACTGCCGTTTACTACATACGTAAATGAAACTAAGTTTAGTTAAGGCTATACCTAAAAATATATTATCATAACATAATTTAATAGCTAGCCGCTTTCGATAGCTTTCGAGAGCTACATTTTTGCCACCTAAAGTTAACATGTTCGGCCCGACTAGGTCCATAAGATTTTAAGACAACCCGACCAGAACTAACCCAGTTTTAAATTTTCGTGATAATATCATGATATCTATAATGTGTGATATTCAACGCCTATAAAAATAATATGAACTAAAATTCACGAAAACGTATATTTTTTAAATAGGTATTTATGGTTTTTTTTAATTGTATACAATAAATTTTGTGAGTAATACATACCCGAGGCCAACAAAATACTTACAGTTATCAAAATATAAAAAATGTATGACTATACCAATATTTTATATCTACATGTAAATAAAATTAGGCAAAATATTTTTGTTTTTGATCATTTGTTGGTCTTTGACGTTTTAATTATAACAAAAAGCAACCCATTACGAGCATATTATGTCTAAAGAATTTCTAAGCATAAATACAAGATTTAGATGATTCTTTGAAAAAAAAAAAACTTAAATATTTTAATTAATTAACCATAATAATTGTATTATTTTGACTAAAATCTTGTACAACGCGTACAGATAAGATATAACATAAGTATTTTAAACTTTGTATAATTTACATTTGTTAACGTAAGGCATAACAGTTTATCTAACATACAAATATTATGTAATGTGTACAGAAGATAATCATTTTATTCGTTTCGTAAATATGTCTGTATAATATACAATATGTTCAGTGTTAGAGCTTAGAATTAAACTTATTTCTACCTTGTAGGGGAAAAGAAAATCTACAGAAAGTAGATAATACTATATTACCACTTATCAAAATTTGACACCTCCATAGTATTTTGTTCTAAAAATAAAATTGTATATCCAAATCACCGCTATGATAAATGATAATAAAATAATCTTTATCTCTTGCAGCAGCATGCACCACACATACCACATTTATCATAATTCATAATACATAATAATTAATAATATAACATAAAGACACATAATATAAATATACTAATAATACTCGTATATACCTATTCACTCTTACTTTATTATATATAATCTTTCCATTTTATGTTTCAGAATTAATAGATTTAAAATTTGTGTTATTTTTAATATTATTATTATTATTATTATTACTATTATGTTATCACTTATTATTATAAATTAGTCATTGATCTCGTTTTTGAATTTTTTTTCTCGTATTTATTGTAATCTTTAAAGAACAATACATGATAACAAAATTAATTTTGTCGTCAACCCATAAGGATATACCTTTTAAAGCAGCAAAGTGCACACATCAGGTTTTTTTTTTCAATACTGTAAATATAAAATATTAATATTTACTATAGTTGTAACATAACAATATAATCCAATTATTATTAGTGTTCATTGCTAATAAACGATATTCATCAATATTAAATATGTGTATAATGAATTAATGAATATGTACATATTGACTATTGTACATATTATAGCCTACAGGTTCATTGCTGCGTATCACTGTAACCAGGGACGTATTTATACTAGGGCTAACCAGGACTGTAGCCCTGGGCGGCAAAATTTTGAGTAATTGGGTGATTAAAAAAAAATTAATTTGATTTTATTTACATTTTTTTATATACTATATTATGTGTATAATAGATCACTTTTATTTTTTTATCGTATTATTTTTGTACTTAATACGTATACAAAATAAATGTAAAAGAAATAATAATTGTATAAAAACAATTAATAGTAAATTTATACTACAGAGGCAAAAATAGATATATAGACAGAAATATTTTTAATTCGTGACTCTTGTTTATCTATTTTTAACGAAACATTAATATTTTTTCTTTGAGTTCGGTTTAACGACAATCATCGACCGCCAATCATTGTTTATTATGATTGTGATTACCTATATAGAAAATTATACACGTCTTGTTTAAAAATATAATTATTATTATTAGTGGTGTGTACAAAATGTATCATTGGCCATAAACCATTTTTGTTTATTGTGTCATGTACTCTTGTGTACAAACGTTCATCGATTACGAATCTTAACGTATGTATATGTTTTTTTGATGTGTTATTTTTATATTAAATTTATTTAAACAAGTCAATTAAAATGAATGACGGCAGAAAACGTCTAAGTGATTCTGCTTATAAAAAAACGTCTAACCTAAAATTAGAAAAAGAAAATAAAATAATTTATCAAACCGCAAAATTAACTTCTTTTTTTGGTAATTCACGTTCATCAACTTCCAATTTACAAAGTGAAACATCTAAGTCTGAACTGTGTTTAAGAGAGCCGAATAATAAAAAGTAATCAAAGCAACAATTTCATGTAGTCATGTACCTACGTAAATAAATTCAGTTTTTGATGTATTAACATTTTTTTATACTACTTAGTGAACATGATCCTCTTGAAGTTCTTATGGTCGAAAATAAGTGAATTAATAATGTGGAAAAACAATTACATACTTCTTCCAATACACAAAGGTAAGACATACAAACAAAACAGATTACTTAAAATTTAAATTATAATATATAATATATATTTACCTATAAAAAAGTATAACTAGTATAGTATATTAGTACCTATTATACTATGGTCTATGATGATAATATTAATATTCATCTACACAAGCCAAATTTTATAATTATTTATTTTATATTTTTTATTAACCAATTTTTATCTTTTTTTTGGGACTTATGCCTTTTTTGCTTAGCATGGCAGTATAGACATGTAGTCCAAAATATGTAGGTATTTTACACGTAATATATGCATATCACTCATATCTGTAATAAATATTAATTTAATAATATACATTGTTCTGGAATATTTATAGAATATAATCACATTGAATGGATTATATTATAATATTAATATATCTATATTGATAATAGCTATCTGAAAATATTTTTAAAATTTAAAAGTTTTATATAAATAAGTTCATTAATTTATTTACTTGATATAGTGTACAGTGTAGGTACACTATACGATATAATATAATTTATAAAATATTAAGGTTATAGATTAATAATTTTTTATAATTTTTATTAATTAATCAAAACAATTGACCTTATTTTATAATATTTACATTTATCAATAATGATTAATGTACATATCATGGTATAAAAATATATTAATTTATTTAAATATCAAAAATTTGATAATAATAACTGAATACTATTTATTGTTTTATAAAAAACTTTTCCAAATGTAAATATTTAACAAAAGTTTAATTATATACTAGAATGAAATATAATAAATCTTGTAACAATGTGATTTTATTAAACACTGTAAATTCATATAATGAAAAAAGAAATTTTTTTACTCATATACTTCCATTACATCATCTTCATAAATACACAAATCTTCCATCATCTCTTCAAGACCAATATGTGGTGCATCATCATCATCATCATCTTCCACAGCAGATTCAACATTGACATCTGGATTTTTGTAAATATTAATATTTTGCCTTAAATCTTTATCCTCTTCCAAATCGTCCATAAATTCATCCATGTCACTAAATATTTATTATTAATATTATTAAATTTATAATTGTAATTATTAAAATGAGATACTGACTTATTATCACTTTCAAAATTGATTTCTGTATCTGTGGTCATTCGTTTCAATTTCCAGGTACGTTTGCGATGCCTTGCACGGTCACAATAATTTTTCTTTATAAGTATTACATCTGGCAATGATGTTTTCGGCAATTTATCAAAATTGCTATCATTAACATTACTATCAGCAATAGCATAACCCAAAACTGTGTCCATTGGTTTTAGTAAGTGTCCTAAATGTGACCGGCAATGTATAGTGTCTGTTGTCAATCCCAAATCACAAGATCTAACCACCCATACATCAGCCAACATATGCTAAATAATACATTTAAATACTGATTTAAAATCAAATATTTTAATAATAAAAATTCTTAAAATATAATGAAAATAATTAATAGTTTATAACTGGCAATTAAAAATTTACAGTAGTAAATTTAAATCTTAAGTTTGAACTAATAAAAATGTTTAAATATGCTTATGATGAAAAAAAGACAGAATTATCTAATATTAATAAAAGCATATTTTATTTTTTTTTTACTACTTAAAGCTATTAGATAACAAATAACTACTATCTTATAATTTTAAATTAAACAATTATTATAAGGAAATCAAATCATTATTATTTATTAATAAACAAGTAAATATGAAACTTATCTTAATTAACAAAATTGTTTTGACTGACAGCTTTTATTTCTTCATTTTATGAAGAATCATATTATGACTATTAATACACTTACTTTGTATGAAAGCTGGCCTTGACCTGGGAATTGTACTCTGTCTTTTTCCATGATTGGTTCAATATCCATTACAGTATATTCTGTTAATTGTTTACTTTTGAATATACTTTGAAAACTATCCCTCCAATATGCAGAACTACTCACCTCAGCCACTAAAAATAATATAATCTACCATTATAGTATAGTTATAACATAATTCCAAAGAATGGAAATATATCAAAATTTACATTGGGCGGTAGAAGGATCAATCAGCTTAATAGAGTTAGTTACTCTATATACAATACAGAGAGGACTGATTCCTCCTAATTGCTGACTAAGTCTTTTAGACAAGCAAACAACACTATCCTTCATGACGGGAACAATTTCTACGCTAGAAAATAAAAATAAATTTAATTTTTAGAAGCAACTCAAACTAGATAATAATCAAAAATTTAAATTACTGGTGTAAAATCTCTATATAGGAACTAAATAATTCTCTGTATCTGATAAGTATCATTTATAATTCTTTAGTAATGTCTTATTTTTAATTAAAAATTTGCCTTACAACACATATTTAATTAAGGCAACAAAAACCTTATTCTCTAAGTATGTTTTACCTAGCAGTAACACTAATGATATTGCATATTATATAGACATAAACTATGCTGTTTATGATTGAACTGAAAAATATCTTAATAAGTCTATTGAGTAACTAATAATTAATTTTGAAAATTTTATTTATTGATTATATTAATAATAATTTATTTATAAAAATATATACTCTATTTAATTTTACAGTTAAGGATTTTCAACTTATTATACCTTATTTTACTTTACACATAAAATAATTAATAACATTATAAAATATAATTTAAACTAGCAGATCTCTACCACTGAAAAAAATGACATTAAAAAAAAAAATACAATTAATAAAATAGAAAAACTTTTTTTCTACCATATCAAGAAAGATTATACACCAGTACCTTGATAGTTACAAAAATACCTGTATGTGAATTTGTAATTATAAGTATTACTGTGAATATCATGTGATAACAACTTTTTAGAATGCTGATATCGGCAAGGCAACACAGCAGACATGAAATCCACAAGCTTACGAGCTTGTGATTCAGTTGAATAAAAAAAATCTAAACCATCTGAAATAGATAATAAAATATTAATACCAATAATATTTTGTGCTATTTAGAAGTAATTAAAAAATTATTATATTTTACTTGATTCTGGTTTTATAGATAATGTATTTTGATGTGCCTTATGTTTCAACATTAACTGTTCTAAGTAATAAAATGTTTTCTTGTTATCTGATTTTTGTCGAACTTGAACCTATGATCATAATTTTTATAACTTTTAATACTATATTAATTATAATAATAGCAGGTAATAGATATAAAAATGTATTTAATATCAAAATGATCAATGATAATAACCTTAAAAATCAACTTAAAATTTTATTTTCATTAATTTTATAAGATACTTACTAAAGCACGCCAATAATCTTGAGCTTCAGACCTATGACAATCATCACACATTTGATTTGCAATAGTAAATTCAACCACAAACACTTGCTGAAGAGTCATGCCACTCATCACTTCTCCATGCACAGTAAGTTTTACCTAAAATTTAGTTCAAAATTTAAGATCATTTTTTATTATTTCTACAATTTATTTTAACCTTAATACGTTTGGAATGAGGTTCAGTCCAAATAAATCCAGCATCAACTAGTTTCACTTTATTCAATGCTTTAAGTTTACGCAAGCATAGTCCCAACAGTTCCTTAGATTCAAGTGCACAGGATATCCATTCGAATGGAGGTTGTAGATATCGTTCACAATTACGACAAAATTGCAATGTCCCTTGTTTGGGTATATCTTGTGTGATATCTACATGTATACGAAGACAAGAAACACACATGTTAGCCGGATTTGGCTCCATAGTCACACCACACTGGCAACATAATCTATAATAACACAAAAAGACAAAATTGTAAATAACTGCAAATTTTAAATTTATTGTTAGTTTTAAGGAAATGGGATAAGTGATACTTACATTTTGGCTATCGTTGACGGTACGGAGGTCGGAGCGTAGTCCATTTTCGAAATTTGAGTTACCTTAGTTTAAAAACAGTAAAGTGAACATGTGAGTAGCGAGTCAATGAGCACGTTACCACCAGACACTTGCCACTCACCATTAAAAAGTAAAAAACAACAATTTCGCAGCTCGATATACGATATTGATAATAGCATAAATAATATGATAACACAAATATACAGTGCGCTCATTTATGATCGATATGAACAAATCATTGTGGTTCTATTGGTAACGCTTATTTTGTCAGTTTATGATGTTTGTTTACTAAGCAACCGCATACCTGGTTTGTCATATATAGGGTCCGAAATTGAGGAATTCATCGACCATTCTGCGCCTTTTAGAATTTTGCTGTTGGCTGTTACATTCTGCGTCTGTTACCGTCTACCGGTTACCGAGTACTGGGCACCGGCGTCTGACGACCGGCTTTCGCGGCAGTTTACTTGATCAAGTACTTTTAGTTTAGGGTTTACTCAGTTTACACTTGAAGATTTTTTCGTTTTCTGTGAACCGTCATTTTCCAAGGGATCGGCCGATCAGCGGTTACTCCGCATCAGGCTCGTTCTAAAATTTTTTTTTTAACCTTTTTCACGGTTTGGATGCCGCTCAGTGAATTCTACTAAGGTGAGTAACAATTTAAAATCAATTTAACAGCAGTTCAGTTTATTTTCTTATATACACTACTTATGTATTAATTTACTATCCAACGTGTATTTTGTACTAAACTCTTCTACATGGTTTTGTTGTTAATCATTACTATACTACATGCGTTTTTAAGTTGAATTCAAACGAACGTGTAAGTATGTAATGTTCATCCCACGCCCAAGTATTGATAACTTTTTTAATCAATTGTCGATACTTAATTTATAAACATTAATAATTAAGTTCATGAAAAGTTAATCATAATATTGTATTCAATTCAGCAGTGGATCGTCAAATTTCATAATAAACGACACAATCTCATTATTCATTTTAATTTTAAGACATTTTTTCAAAATTAAAATTTAGAATATCTAAGATTTAGTAGGTACAATTGTCATCAAGAATAAAAATTTGTGAGTTGTTAAATTCAATTAATTAATTATCCATTACATATCTGTATTCCATTTTCATTTATCTAAAAATTATACAAATATCGAGATTCCATTTTGTCATTCCTATTTGTAGTGATTATCTGGTGACTTGTGCTCAAAGGTTTGGAAATGTGCAGCATAATGTTAAAGACATGTCTCACTGTTATCAATGACTAATGTCTTATAATTGTTTTTTGTCAACTATGCCTATTGAATATTACTTCTCATTAATACTTCACAATTTGCAACTTATCCATACCTATTATATTTATTAGTATAGTTTATATCTTAAAAAATTGATAATTTATTTTTATATTATACCTTACCCATGTAATATCTATGCTTTATCACTGCTTAAAGGTTGGACTTGGTCACTATTAAAATCCACTTATACTATTCATCCTTGCGCTATTACCTAGTACCTATTTTGTTTGTTTAAACTGTATGTTTTAAATATTTACAAAAAAATAAGTTATGTTTTATCATTTTATATTGGATATATATTATTTTATATGATGTATAATACTTAGTATATGTTAGGATTTAGAAAACATTTTTTGTAGTTAATGTATTTTAACATGATTATTATTATTGTATTTAATATAATTTGGCATAATAATAATTCAATACTTAAAATCAATTTTAAGGTTGTTTGTGCAAACTTATGTAAATTCTCTCCGTTTCATGTTTCAGTATTTTTCACTATTATTAGTGATGGGCATAATTGAGTAAAAATAATAATCGATTATGTAACTGAGAGATTTTTCACTAAAATTATAGTAACTCGACTGGTCGAGGTATCATATTTGAAACATTTTTAGAATCCTAGGCCCAAAACTGAACAACATAAACCAGCGGTTCCCAAACTTTTTTTTCCGCGGTGCCCTTTTAGAGGCACCAAGTTAGCCACGGTGCCCTGCTGTATATAGCATGAAAGATAGAACAATAAAAAATTTTCACTTAATATTTTATTTTAAGTATAATATAATTTTCAAAATATTTTTAGTTTTTTAAGCTTTTAATTTTTTTTTTTTATTAATGTCAATAATTTATGAATGGGTAAAAATGCTTGAAAGGTTAACACTAAGTAATAAATAATTTAATTCTCAGTTGAAAATTATCAAAGAATTAGTTACATTATTTTTTAAGCGTTAATTCTATATTTTGTATTTGAATATGAGTTCAAAGTTTAAATTTCTATAACAAATATTTACCTGTAGGGACAACTATTTCTTCCTAGTTTTTTTTTTTTTTTTTTTATTTGTATTTTTAAAACAAATTACTGTATAATGAGGTACATAAATTTTCATTAAATGTTAAGTTATCATTTTATTTTTATTTCTTTTAACTATTTAAAGAATTGATTTTTTTTTTAAATGTCAATAATTAATTTATATGATCTTGATATCTGCACAAAATTATTAAAAACCTAAAAACATAATTTTTATATAAGTATATTTAAAATTATAAAAAAATGTTGTTATTAAATTTTTAATTTATAAGACCATCTTGCTCAAAATCTATTTTCGCATAAATGGTTTATCATTGATTAATCTTATACTATAACACTGACCTGCTTGACACCTTATATATTATAAAACAATAACTTCTTGCCTACCTAATTTAAATATTATTTTGTATGTCTTATAGTGGTTTTGTTCTTTGAATTATAAGTAATAAATACAATACCTAAGTATATTAATATATTAGGTACTATAATTACACTAGTTTTTTAATATTTAAATTACTACATATTGCCATCAATCACTATAGAATGCTTACATCTCCTGTTTTAAATAGTAGTGAAACCCTGGATACTATGATATAATAAATGGCTCATGCTATAGTACACAAGAACACATCGGAACGAATCGGCTAAAAAAATTATTCTTGTCATAAATTATAAAAATAATTCATAGAGCACTCATTTTTTGTGCTCCAAGCAGTCATAGAAGTATTAGCTATTTTATTGACATGTCGGTTATTAATATATAGTTGTTTGGAGCACATAATGTGTTAAGTCAACTAATAACTACTAAATTGACAATTTAATATAAATACAGAATAAAATAGTATTGTTGTATAATCAAATAACCACCAATCCTCATTAATAAGTAATTGATTAATTTTATTTGTGTAATAATTGTATAGCTCAAATAATACAATATTTTTTCAAATTTTTTTTTATATTAACATGGTAAAAAATTAAAAAATAAATTTAATTTAGATAAATAGGTTTATTTTTTATATAATATGTACCTGTAGCAAAATTAATATTTTTTTACATATGAATCTTATTAACATTTTGTAGTCAACTTTATGTGAACATCACAAGCTACCACTGCTAATAGTAATTAATTATTTGGCATAATTCTAGTTTAGCAACCTATCAACTATTTTGAATTTTATTTTCAAAATGAGTGTTTTTACGTGCTTTATAAGAATGTAAAGAGAAAAAAATTGTCCCTTGAATTATTTTTATAGAATCAATATTATTACAAAAATTAAAATTTGTGAATGAAACCCCAGTAATATTTTTTTTCTTTGAAACAATTATAAAATTGAAAATAGGCAGTTATTAAAGATATTAATACATATCTATATAATCACATCAAAACTTGACCATTGTAAAAAATATCTTGGTTTATCTTAAACAAAAAAAAAGACTACCTATATTAAATTATATTACCTATGAAGACGATATTTTTTTATTTTTATAATTGAGTAAATACCTACTTCACATATTGCATTATATTAACATGTTTAAATCATACAGGATTTATTTTATTATTTACAAGACATAATTTTTGTACAAAAATAAAATATATTTAAGAAATGCTTTTGTAAGTAAATAATAATTTAAAATAGCTATAATTAAATATACCAATTCAAATATAAATTATTAGCATTAAATAATGACATCCTTGTGTTAAATAAAATTATAGCACAAACTTGGCACTTAGCTGTATTTTATTATTTAACCCACCCACTAGATTTATAAGGCGATCCAATTAAACTACTTAAAGTGTATGCTCAGCAACACTGCTTGCATATGGTCAAAAATCTAAACCAAGTATACTATTTTGAAGAAGTTTTACAAAATAACCATGAGTAAAAACACAGTTGATGCTTTGATTATAATAAGAATTGCTAAACCTCACAGATGCCAATTTCATTTTTTGACTATATCACACAATATGATAATTGATTCCAATTTTAACAGTTATTAATTTATACTACTTTGCTTAGTTATTAATGTACCTAGTTTTGCTCTATCTTGCAATAGTAAAAATATCAATAAAAAACATAGGCCAAATTTTTAATTAGTATAATTATTAATTACTTTATATTATATAGATACTATTACTAAGCTAAAAATTAATTTTCTTAACAATATGTTATTTTTCAGATACAATGGCAGTTTGTTTTATTTGTGATGTTAAATTGTATGGGGAACGAACACGCGTGTGTTCAAGCATTACACCGCACACTAATTCACCGTATCCTGAAAAGATAGGTGAACTTGTTGGAGAAGAATTTGTCATTATTGTAACTCCCGCTGATCATATGTGCAAGAAATGCACATCTCTTTTAAACCATATGGACAAGCTCGAAAATGATTTGAAACTTGTTAAAAATGCAATGTTAGCATCTGTACAAAAGAAATATGGATTAGTGCCTGCTGATCAGCCTGTTAAATCTGTTAATGTAAAAATTTATTTTGTTTTATTGTATGTTCACTTCCAGTAAATCTAACTATTTTTTATTTTATCTTAGATTGTTAATGGGCACTTACGAACTGATGACTTAGAAGTTGGTCAAAGAAAAGTTCCTAGTGGTTTGACAGTTAGAGAACCATCCTCTAGTAGTACTCCGTTAAAATCAAAACAAGACAACGCTTCTAAAATGAAAATTTACAAATGTGGTTTTTGTACATTCCAATCCAAAGATCTTGGTCATGTTCGGTATGTACATTATATAGTTTTTAACGCAAATATTTTATTTTTATTTATATTTCAGTTTCCATATGCGTTCTCATTTAAAAAAAAAAGATGGTGAGAATTCTAATCAATCAGTTGCAACTAAGACAGTAACCCAGGTAATAAAATATATAATATACAACTGTGCATTTTAAAAAATTTTGCACAATTCACTAATGCAAATAATTTGTTCTAAAATAATTTTATTAGATTTATAAAACATAGTGCGCAAAATAGATATAGGTATATTATTTATATTGTTTTTGAATTTTATTAAAATAATTGTAATATTCTGAAAAGTAATTAATTTAAATACTGAAATTATTTCAACTATTCATTCTGCCAAGATCTAAACAATTTATTGGTTAATTGATGAAAATTGGTTTTAAATTGAAGGATTTAATTATTATATCTTATATAACAATAACTTAAATTAGTAATTTACAAAAATTGAGTTATTAAACACCTTTAATAAATATCTTTTATATCACTAATAAATCATAATGAACCTTATTTAACATATTGTTATACTTTTTTATGATTCTTAAAAGTTGTGTTTTGTTTCAATGTTAGCAACAGCAGCAGCAGCAGCAACAACAACAGCAGCAGCAGCAACCACAACAGAAAAAAAGATTGTACAGATGTCAAGTGTGTTCTGCATCTTATGATAGCAGATTTGATTGCCTTGAACACATTCAGAAGGATCATAACCAACAACCATCTTCAACAACTGAGGTTTAACTAATTATTATTTACAAAATGTTAAAATCCACTATCTTTTTTTTTAATTTTTTTAGGAAAAGGAATCTGAAGCTACTACAGATAATGCACCAGTTTTTCAAACAGATGCATTAAATTCTGCAGATAATCAACAAGCTATAATTAAGAAAGAAGATGGTGGAAATCATTTAATCGACAAAAACTCTATGGACACAAATATGTTGTTAAATGATAATCTACCAGTTGATGATGATTCAACTGTTGCTAAGCCAGAAGAAACACAAAATACTTGTGAAAATATGTCTGAACAAAACGAACTTATGGAAGTTAATCAAGAAATGCCTGTTGCAAATGTAGATATGAGTGATATGGCAATAGAAGGCAATGAATCCGGAACAGCAGATCATTTGGACATAGAATCAATGTTGGCTGCCATTCATAATGATGTTGTCGAACCCCCAAATGATGGCAGGGATGCACAAATCTGATAAAAAAAAACTATACTGTATAATCCATTTTCTTTTTTTATACTTGACATTTATTACATTTAAATTTTTAAAAAAAAAACAGTACAAATAATTTAAGTTAAAAATTTTATACTAGGACATTGAGTTATTTTGAAATAAACATTATTCTCGGAAAACAGTAAACATATGTATATTTATTTAGACTAAAATGTTGTTTCTAATTCAAGTATGTTTATTCTAGTTATATAGTTATTTTTTTAGGAGCTCTTCCAACTTGCCATTTTGAGACATTTTTCTTACATCAGAGCCACCACCAATAAATACACCATTTACAAAAACCCGCGGCACCTATAACATAATGAACCATATTAAATTAATATTTTTTTCTATTAATTTATTATTAATTAATAGTGTCAATAATTTTACCGAACGGGCACCAGTTATTCCTTCTAAAGCATCTTGAATATCATCCATGTCTTCTCTCTTATCTAAATCGATGGATTTGTAAGTAGCTTTCAACTTGTCAAAACACTATTTTAAAATGTAATAAAAGATAATTTATTATTAGTCTTATTGTATAATTATTTAAAATATTTACTTCTTTAGCCATCTGACAATAACCACAGTCCGATTTTGAGAATATGACAATAGGATCATGCGCGATAGCATCTTTAACAAATTGTGTAGCAGCCATAACTTGAGTTGGTGAATGTATTTTGCTGGAAAGTGAACCCATTAGATGAGATATTAGTTATATGCGTTCATAAAAGTGCAGTAGAAAATACAATTGATATGTTTTGTGTATTTGAGAGTAATTTGTCTGTCAACACATACATTAACTAGTTAAAATATTGTAATTGTTGACCTGGTTAACTCAATTAAAATGCATTTTCATGCACTGATAGATCTAATTTTATAAATTTTAACTAAACTATAGAATATCCACAGTGAATAATTATAAGTAAATAACTAATAATATCTAAGAATAACAAATGATACATAATACATACTATTATTGATAAAAATTTAAATAGTAAGTAATAGTCCATAAATATCTAAAGGAGACACCATAATGACTTTGCTTTTAAAAATATACATAACTTATAACTAAGCCTACAACTTAATATCAATAAATGCATATATAAATAGCTAAATTTGGTTAAAATAACATTCACTGAATAGTAGCTTGTCATTTATTTGAGGCTTGGTATAAACAACTTGTTAACTCTGAAAAATTCAGAAAACATTTTAGATTTTTTTTGGTAAAATATTCTTGGTTATTAGTATTCTTGTAAATGTTATGTTATCGCAGTGTAGTTTATTACAGCAATTGAAATATTGTTTACAGGATACAAATACTTTAAGTCATTTTAATATACATATTTTTTTGAGTAATACATATTTACCAACAAGTTAATGATATTTTTCATTATTTAATAAATAAACTATTTGTATCAAGTTATAACATAATTTTGTTTTTTTTTTCTAATACTTGATGTATTAAATACATAAAAACGTTAAGATAATGAAATAACATTTTTAATATTTTAAAGAATTGGTAAACTCATCAGAAAAAATGCATTATACTAAAAAAATTAATAATAATAAAAAAAGAATTTTAATTTTGAAGTAAACATACATAATTCAGTCTTCAAGCATTGGTTGTAAAAGATTTAGTGACAACTGTATTTTTGTAACCAAAATTAGTTATTGTACATGAACAATTCACTATATTGTATTTGTGTATAAAACGGAGACTAAATTATATCTATGTGGCATCTTTGTATGTTAACATTTTTCTTTGAAATTTTTTTTTTAAATATATACAATTACCAGGAACCAGTAATAACACTAATAGGTATGATATCTAGTCATGTCCAGGTTAAGGAATTTATAGCGTGTAAAAAAATACATATTTAATGCTTTAATATACACTTAAAACAACAAAAATAGTGCTAAAAATTAGTAGATACACTAAATAAATAATATAGTATTTAGTAACTATAGGCATTTGGTTCAATTCTGAAACTTAGGAACGACGAATCTAATAATTTTGGTACAATGCATCTGACATTACTTTAAAAATAACTAATGAATGATAGAATAAATTGTCCAATGTGACTAGTGATAACAACCGATAATATACCTCAAATAGAAAATCAAAATACATGTTTTTGATCAAATATTTCAATTTTTGTATACATTATTGAAGTTGTATTGTATATTTCTTTTATTATATAACAATAAGCTTATAGTCTATAATTAATACTAAAATCTGTAAATACACATAAATTTGCAAAATAAAGTTTCTTATACAAAATCAAGATAATGTATCTTATAACTTTGTATCTTACTCTCAATGTTCTATAACATACCAAAAATAATAAGAATTTGCTAGAAATTTTAAGCCTAAGTCATGACTTAACTTATAGTGATAATTAGATACTATTTACTTCAGTCATAAAAAATGTTTACATTTTTAATTAATGTCTTTAATTACCTACCGTATAAACTTATTTAATTAGTTCTATAAGTGTCTCTAATCACAGGTAACTCAATATTTCTTTCATAATTTGACAAATTTTTTAAAACTTCAAATTCTGTACTAATATGGCAGAAGTTAATAATAACAAAATCTCAGTTTCAAAATTAAATATCATGATTGTGTTCTTTAGAATTTTTTACTGAAGTCTTTTGTACCAAGCTTCAAAGATTTATTCCTAAATATAATTAGGTTATAATTACTAACAAAAACTAATTTAGTACTTAAAATGATGTATTGTCTTTGTCTTATTAACGCACATGGCCAATTTGATGTACAGAAGAATTTATTTTACTGTTATTTTTAATATAACAGTGAATTTATCTTTAATCACAGATATAAAGTTAAGAATATAATGCAGGTTTTTCTATATTTAAAAACTGTAGATGTACATTAAATACCCTAGATAATATTCTTGACTTTAAATTTGATAAAATGGTCAAACCATTGTTTAACTGTTATATTAAAACTACACATTAAATGGATTCATAGTAATAAGTTGGTCATGTTATATGTTAATAAGATGATGACCACACACGTGAGTATAATTCCGATGAAGTAAATACAAGTGTCTGATAAATGTATAATACATTAATACAAACAATGTATTTATTACAGATACATACTTAAAAAACTATTAAAAAAATAGTATTTAAAATCCATGTCTATTTAGTTGTTAATTAAAATACTAAAAGTAAACAAAACTTGTTTCACAATTTGACGTATTTATTACTTGTTTGTACAAATTACGGAAATATATTTTCCCAATGGCAACTATCTTGTTATTATACACCTTTAAATTTTGTATGAGTCAGAATATAAACACACAAATATAGTATTAGATTTGTTTTTTTCGTCACTACTTGTTCAGTTGTGTATTATACAGTAAATCTGTTATATTTGTATGATACATCAACAAAACAGTTACTAAGCATAAGTATTAAATGTATTGTAATACTTATTTAATACACTTAAAATTTTTATACAGCAATCTCTGTATTTTTAGTCTAATACAGATGTATAAATTATCTTTAAGTGCAAAGAGTGACATTATACTAATTTATCATTTTTATTTTAATAAATACTAAATAAACTATATCAACAACTTAAATAATTAAATCCGCCCTTTGCAACAATCAAAAACATAATGATACAATTATTACATACACCTTATATTAATGTGCATAAAATATTAAAGTGTTTATACTTACTGATGAATTACGAGAAACTGAGTAATTTTCGAATCAAAAAACTTATATATCGGTCGTTCTGAAACAAATGGCCAATAGGTAAAGACTAAAGAGTAAAGAGCAATGAGCAATGAATATTGAACAATGTACTATAATATTTGTAATTATAAAAATGATAACTAATTACTATAGTATTATGTAATATTATAATAACCTATAATATATTACAGTATTTTATTGTTACAATAATGATATTATCATTTACCAAAATATGAAATGTTAGCTTGCTTGTATGTTAGTAATTTAATGATAGGCGTGCCACTCGGCCCCTACCATGCCAACCATAAAAATATACAATTCACTATGATAAAAAAATTATTGTGTAATTCACCACCGTTTGTTATTAAAACATTAAAACGATTTTAACGATTTATGAAAAATAAATTTAAATTAAAATATTATATTATTATGTGGGTTTCTCACAAATATAAACAATAATTTTTTAGCAAATAGCAATTATTGTTGTATGATAACAAATTCCTACTATTTATACATTGTACATAATACCATTGATTATATATACTATAGTATATATATATATATATATTATATATATTATTTATATATTTATTTATATATTATTATTATATTATATATATTATAGTATATATAATCAATGATAATACTTATTTTATTTACGGTGTGATCACCAAACATGCTTACCTACGACCTACTCACATTTTTTCTTATAAAAATTAATTATAAATATAATATTATTCAGATTCTGATTTTTGCGTTTTTTAATAGATCGTATTTTTGAGTACCAGTTAAAGCTATTTTCTATTATTTATAGTAGTAATTTGAGGCGTTTCTAACTTCTATTTTTCAAATAAGAACCCAATTTTTACTATAAATTATTCAGTGAATAATTTTTTGGAAAACGTTAATATGTATAGCCATTATTACCTAATTCAAAATTAGAACGAGTAGTTCCTCAATCATTGATATATTAAGGGTAATATTTCTTAAAATCTATTTAAAAAAAAAATATAAAATAAATGTATAATTTATGTGTAATATTGAATGTATTATATATTAAACTATGTCACTATGACCATTTTTACAAATTATGAATGTTAATAAATAATTTTTTTAAATCAACTTGACTTCATAACCCCATACCTATACCTATCTCCCATGCCCATTATCATGAACTTATTATCCTTAGTAAATAGGTAGGAGGTACCTAGTAGGTGAACGTGAACACAATAAAATTAACTCAAATATTGTTTTCTAGCTTTGATATTGCAGATAAATAGAACTTCCATCAAAATTTTCAGAAAAAATAAATATTAAATAATTCACAGTACCTAGAAAAGATTATAGTTTGAAAAACTGAGTTTATATCTCCACAGTAGACTTGTTTAGTAGCAGTATAGGAAATCTTAAAAATTTTAAAATATGGAAATGTTATGGTCTTATTCAGTATTCTTAATTTTTAAACTCTTATAGTTCATTTAATAATTTAGATTTTGAATACCTAATTGCATTATTGAAAAAAAAAGGATGAGCATGTTTTTTAGTTAATCATTGAATCACTCTGTATTATACAGTTGGTATGTCTAAACTTGTGATTTATATCACTGAAATAATTCAGATTATATTGATAATAATTAGGGCCCGGATTCCAATGCAAAATGCATCATTTTTTGATTAATCCTAGACAATGCTTTCCAAGTTTATAATTTGATTCATGTAACAGAGACTTCAAAGGTGAAATTTTTATTTTGCATTTTTTTGCTTTTTTTTGCATATTTCAATATTTTTTCATTTTTAGAGCATTTTTAGCATTTTTGGGTCATTTTGTTGGTTTTTAATGCATATGTGTTCAATATACTATACAAATTTAGCCAATTCAAAATATTATCTAAAAAAAAATTATTCGATTCAGTTTTTATCTTATTGTTCAATGCAATTCTCAAAATTTAGTAAGTACAATAGGCTATTACTTAGAATTTAATTTTTAATATATACGTATTTTGGTATGTTTAGAATGAATAATATTTCTCCAGAACGACCAAAATACATACGAGTCAACTTCAATCAAATGTTCAGTTTTTTTTTTTAATAAAATAATAAAAAATAATTAAATCTTATTTATTTATTACAAATTGTATAAAAAATATATGTCATTTTTAAAGTCATATTTTCATTTTTAAGGTCATTTTTGTAGAAAAATGCATTTTTTTAAGGGCATTTTTGGCTATTTTTTAGAGCATATTTGTATGGTTTTAAGTGCATTTAAATCCGTGCCCTAATAATAATATACAACTATACAAGTTTTGCAATCTAATATGAATTGGAAAAAATATCTAAAATTAAAATACAGTAAAAAAAATCTACAGAATACAGATTTCTGCTATACTTGTCTGTAATTAGTGTTATTTATATTAAGTAATGTACTTATAGTAAGCCATAACACTAATGACCTGTATGGAATACTATATAATTATTTTAAAACCGTAGTAATATAGTAGGTACCTCCTACTATATAGTATGTTTTCTAATTAATATTCAATATATTTAAGATTTAATAATTAATTATTATTTTTATTAACTACTTACCTAATATTTACATTTATCTGTATGAATATATGATAATAAATTGATAAAGTATATTAATATTAAACTTGTATAAACAGATATCCGCAATGCATTATATTACACATAAGATATAATTTGTGGGAAATCCACTTGCAACGGATAGCAATATAATTAATTAATAACTATTTTAACCCAGCCTAACCAATGAAATAACGATCTAATAAAAATCTATGGGCTATGGGCAAATGTTTTTTATTTTGTTCCTCATAGCTGATCGGCGTATACATAAGCGTTCAATAGGTATTATGAGTGTGTTCCCGGTGCCTTGCTATCCGGGTCCACAAAGTTATATATTTATGATTGGTCTGCTTGTATTGAAATTAATTGTTATGTATTACTTTTTAAAGAATCATAGCTTTTCCAGAAATTTAATACGATAACACAATCTGACAGTTAATAATTACTAATTAGTATTAAGTACACTGTACACACAACACAGCATAATATGTACACACATAGTATGATAATTTAAAAATACCAAATTATTTTTCACAGAACCAATTTAAATATGATAAAGATGAAAAAATTTTTATAGCTTATACTATTTGAAAAATATAGATATATAAGTTAACCTAAAAATAAATTTATAATTCTTTTTATTGAGTAGGAATTTATGTATACAAATTTTACATTATTATTATTTTTAATGAATAAAAATAATTCTATTTTACAACATTTTAATATTGTTGTAATTGAATTAATATATAATTGAGAACTTATTTAATTATTTGTAATTGTATATATTGTATAATTTTGTATTAATTCATTTAAATATTTAAGAAATATGATAAAAAAATTAATTATGTACCTATTACTAATTAGCATAATTGCTATTTAAGGATTAAAGTTTCCAACACTAGGTAGTTAAGGTGGTTGGTTTCTTCATATAAGCCTACTGCAGTCTTGAATCTTGATATTATATTTATAATTTATATCCATAAAAACTTTTTTCTTATTATTTTTATATAATATATTGTGAAATACTTGCATTATCATTTAGACTTATTGTAAATATATAATATATACCTATATATTTACAAATTTTATAATTTGAAAACAAAAAAAAAACATATAATTGCTCGTGCAAGATAAATATTTTAATAAAATTGTTAATGAAACTAAAGCAATTAATATAATTTCAGCCTTCGCGGAGACCATAATATGTCCTATTTTAATATTTATTGAGGACAAACGTTCGTAAACTTAATTTTTTTATGAAAATGGAATGTCCTAGATTCAATAGGTAATTGTTATAGGTTGATAATAAAGGTATACAAAAGCGAATAAATAAATCCAAATAACTTTCATTCACTAGACAGTTACAATTGCATCGATTTGCCTGTGTATAAATGAAAAAGAAAAAAATACTTAAAATATAGATGTATAATAATATTATATGTTAGGCGCACTATAAAAAAAAGCGAAAACTATAACGGAAAAACAAATTTAACCTATATAGCTGTATGTTACTCGCTTTTGTACAACAATTTTGTCAATTACTATAGGTCCAATTAGGTACCTACCTACTTAAATTATCACGATCAGTTCAATGGTTGAGGAATTAATCAGTCACTAAAAGACATAGACATTTATTTTTGTATGAGATATAGCCGATATAGCCATACATATCTATTATTTCCGTTTTGCTTCAGTTTTGCTTTCAGTTGAAATATTCTCAATTGTTTTTTTTTTTTTTGTCAAAATCGATCAAGTAGGTATTTTATAATAAATACTAAATAAACCTCAATCGTATACGCATTGACACTTATTATTTTATTATAACAGATGATACTCAAGAACTCGATTTATTTCACAATTGTATTATTATTATTCGATTTAAGATATCAAATTTCGATCAAGTTAAAAGTAGATACGACGTATATTATACTCTCATGCAGTATCTCCGTTTTCAAACGCATACCTAGCATAGAAATTATTTGATCTTAACAATTCATTTAACTCTGTCATGTTTAATATTGCAGTGAATTTACCTATTATCATTTATCAAATTAAAAATTAAGAATATAAGCTAGTAAACCTCACAAGTTTATATTCTTACTTTTAAATTTGATAATAAATAAATTCGCTGTAATATTAAACATGTTACATGACTGAGTTAAATACCTACTTAAATGGATTGTTCAGATCGAATAATTTAGTATGCTACGCGTTTGTAAGACAGAAACATTACATACAACTGTAACGTACTCTTAAATCGTTTTAATATCTAAGTATCTAAAGTTTAGATGAGCGGATAAGTAGACCTAGATTTTATGGGTTCCCTTCCTCATCCAAACTTTAAATATTTATTGCTATTCGTTCAAAATACAATTGTTATGCATTTAAGTAGGTACTCCAAAAAATATTTTACTCTAGAATAAGGACTTAAAAAAGCATCATGTCATAAAAAAAATTTAAAAAAATTGAACTATTTAAAATTATTTAAAGAATATATTTTCAAAAACCTTAATAGTTTATGATTTTATGAGTGTTTGGCGTTAAATGGATCATTATCATTTGGTATCATACAAAGATATA